CTGTGAAAGTGACATCATACGCATTCACTTGTTAATTTTCGTTTCTTTGACCCCTAATAATATATCAAGGATATTTATGAACAGGGTAGGTTTCCTCGGACCAAACCAAAACGGATTGACCCGAGTTCTGTTCATCTTGCGAACAGTGTTAACGTACAAATTTTACGTTAATACTAAGTATGTTAAATAGATTCAAATCGTATTAACAATCTGCTCACCCACAAGGAACAGAAACAAAAATATTCTGCAATTTCTATCTACCTTGAGTATGTTTCTTCCTACATGAAGAAAAAGAAAAAGTGGAACAGCTGTTCAACATCTCTCTCATAAATGGTGCACGTTTCAAACTTGCCAGAATTTTCAACAATTAGGATTATAATAAATCCAGCAATTCAACCTTAAGAACTAGAGAAGGATGGCTGCTCCTGCCCGCCGGCTGCTGCTACACTCAACTAACTGATCTCCAGAAATGAAAGGCGACCAAGTCAGATCACTGGAAAACCCTATTATGCCTTGACTTCTTTCCTACTATGCTTTTTTAGTTTTCCAAACAATGGCGGTCCACTATGTACTGCTTCTAACTCGTCTAGCACGCCAGCAAAATTTCCCATTTACCAAATCAAAAGCGTCATTTATTATTACTATAAGGCTCCATAAATCACCTCTCTTTCTTGACTGCAATAACTATGACATTGATCCGACAAGTTTAATCGAATGGATATTCGTTCACTTGGGATTAAATCATGTTAGGGATTTTCCAATTACACTTCATTCAATTTGATAATCAATGATTCATTTATCTATCGGATCGATTTCCACTCTCACTAGCATATACGTGTATCCGGAACAATGTCTGCATCAAGTAATCTTGCTCCAAGCTTTTTGGTTACCTTTTATTTATTTCACAAAATCTACACAAGAATTGCATTCATTCTTTTGCCCCATACCAAATCAGGTAAACCAAATCCAACAACAAAGAGCAGCAAATGCTGCTGCTTCAATCTCAAGTAAACCAATAGATTACAACAAATAAAGGAACCCACAGAGACACACTTCAACTCTATCTTCACCAAACTCACCAACCAGCCCCCATCTCCTTTTCCCATACCCAAATTTCTCATCAACTTTGCTTATTCCCCAATTTTACAATTTCTTAACCAAATTGGACCCTCCCCCACATCCTTCACTTCCCTCTATCTATTTTATATTTTTATGTATACAACAAATGGGTCCTTCACCGACAACCCCCTCCACTTCCCAATGAAATTTCTTCAACAGTTGTTAAGGGAATTACTTCATTGCAAGTGGCTGGCCACAAGTAACAAAAAGGAGAAAGCTTTGATTGCCAATATAGGAATCTTTGATTACCAGATTGTGCTGTGGTTCTTCTTTCTCCCAATCGTCCATGGCTTCTTTACCTTTCTTATTACTGGCATGGTTTGTCCATCCACTCATTCTCTGCTGCAATCCTTCCCGAGCCACGGCCTCCCATTTTCCCAAATGACCCCAAGTTTGCCGACAGCCCCTTGAAACTGCTGCTTCCTTCGCTCAAGTTTCGCGACTTCCATGACTTTCTCAGCTTTGGGGAGCCAAACCCTCCAAGGCTTTCATCAGCAGCATCTTCACTGATCTTGACTCTAGCAACCACGAGACGGGCAATGGTGCTTCGACAGAAAGGGCACACAGGAGGTGTCACCGATGCAGTTGTCGGGTTAGGCTTGTTGTGGCAGCAGAGAGCCAGCGTGCAATGTGCACACATTTGGTGACCGCAGTCTTGGACTTCGATCGTGCACACCTGCTCAAAGCAGATGCAGCATAGTTCCGTATCGCTTACCTGCATTCCCATTATTTCAAAGCTATGAATACGGGTCTCAGTCGAACCAAATCAGCTTACAGTTCGTTTGCTTAAGGTGTATTTGGAGAGACATTGCAATAGTATGCAATTGACACAAATGACATCGGCAACATAAACTGAACGGAACACACCCTCAGGGTATTTCAAATGGAGGGAGGTTATGATTTATACCTCTGATGCATTGTCATCTACCTCGGCATCAGCTATCTGTGGAGAATGATCTGAACAGGTAGATGATCCTTTGAAGATGCTCTTTTCCCTTTCCCGGTTTGCCTTCATCAAGGCACGTTCTAACAAACCTTTTGCCTCTTGATTAAGCTCACTGATGAACTTCAAAGGCGATGGCCATACTAGAGGCTCTGCGGATGAAGGGTTTAACAGTGCTGCACAGTTTGGATGTTTGTGCTTCAAGGCAACCCCATAAGGGATCCTCCTGTAAATGGGAGAAAATCATCAGAGAGGCCAAACTTGAAGATTGAAACAAGAACTAAACCAAATGACGGGAAAACTATATAGGCGTGTATACACACCCAGATGCATCTCTTTGAAGACGATCGGCGCCCCAAGCCAGCAACTCACGGATGCAATCAAGTGACCCACCCCTGGCCGCCAGATGAAGAGGAGTGCTTCCTGGACAGCTGGTTGCAGCAGAGAGAAAAAGAACCCACATAAATCAATACATGAGGAGCAGGAGAAGAGATGGAAAGGTTACTACATCAACTTGATTGAGAGGAAGAAAATAAGCTTACCCATATCCACCAGTTGAAGCACAAACAAGAGCACCGTTGTCCAACAATATATGAACACATTCAGGACGTTTCTGACGGGCAGCTAAATGCAGAGGTGTGGCTCCTCGGCCATCTCTAATATTCACAAATCTCGCATAACCCCTAAAAATGGAAACTTTGACCAATCAGTTCGGTGGGAGGATAGCAAATCAAGGGTAGATTGTATTGATTCGAATCCAGGGAAGGGGGAATTTTACCAGGATGCAGCAACTTGGCTGGACTGGGCAGTGGAAAGAATGACTTGAAGGCAATCGGAATGGCCATAGTAGGCAGCATAGTGCAAGCAAGTCCGTCCATTGAGGGAATCGAACTTCAATATCTGGTCATCACATCCGGATTTACCCTTCCATAAGTTATCTCAAACGATTGGTGCAAAAAAAAAAAAAAAAGCAAGGATAAGAAAATTGTAAAGTTTGTCTCGCTTACATTTGCCCCAGCCTCAATCAGCATCTTCAAGCAGGAGATCTTCCCATGCATTGCGGCCAACATAAGTGGAGTCTGTAATGCCAAGATTCGGCGATCAAGAGAAGGGTGAAAAAAAACCAAAATTAGAAATTGGCTTCAAGTAAACGCCACAGCAACAAACAAGAGCTCATATCATCGAACAGTTGGCAGGCATTGGAAGGGGCGCATTTCATTTCCCACTTGTGAATCGCATGAACCAAAAAGCTTTTTCCTTTTACCTGCTTGTGACGATTCACAATATCTGGATCCACGGATCGCTCCAATAGCATCGACAAAATCTGCAGCATCGGAAACCCAACAACAACAAAAAAAAATTAAACACCTCGAAATTGTTACCCAATGCCATTTTTACCCAATCCAATCAGAAAAGACAGCAGAACAGAGAAGCCCAGCCCGCCACTCTTGACCCATCGGAATGACGCTACAGCAGAATCCGGCGAGAACCCACCTCGATCTGGCCATTGGCAGCGGCGATATGAAGGGGAGACTGGCGATCGTAGACAGTGGTTTGGTGAAGCAGAGACGGATCTCTGTCTAGCATAATCTTCACGATTTCCAACTCACCAAACTGCACGGCTGTGAAGAGCTCCCCGTGCTCCTGACTCGCGACGCAGCTCAGTTGCTGACCCATGTGGAACTCCTGCTCCGCCGCCGCCGCCGCAGTTTAGCCACCGGAGGAGAAAGAGGGGGAGGCCAGTACTAATTGCCGCACTTCTCCGAATGGGAAGTGGTCGCTGGCTGAGGGCTCTCTCTCTCCGGTTTAGGCTCTTAAAGGAGAGGAGGTAAGGCAGAAAAAGTTAGCGTCTTTATATATAAGTAGGAGGACTGTGTTTACTGCGAGCGAGGATGAATGGGAACTAAGCAAAGTCGATTGGTTTCCTATTTTATTTTCTCTTTTTATTTTTATTATCTCATTTTTTTTCCGGGGAGCTGCCCGAAACGGGTGACCTTGACAGTGAGTGAGTGGGGAGTACGGGCAGGCGCCTGTGTGTCAGATATTTGTTCGGGCAGTAAAGATTCCTCGCAAAACAGTACGTTTATAATTTTTATGTATTGGGCCGGAAACTGGGCCCCGCGGTTGAAGAGTCTTCTCTTGGGGGCCTGCTTGCTTGTCGTGAATGTCCCGTTCATCAAAACTCCGTTGGAATTGTAACGGCCGTTAGATTGGGAATTTTGGCTGACGGCTCAGTTTAGATATTTGTTAATCAGGTCGACAAGTGGGTAATCGGTTTGTAGTTGGGCAATCAAGTTGATTGTCGTTTTGACGGGTTGGCCCTCCTGCTTTTAACCGGTCCGATGTCTCTTCTTCTTGACCCAGGCAAAAACGGAAACGGGAAAACAGGGGAAGGCAAATAATAAAGAATGGGAAGATTTGACCGAAAGAAAATGTGCACCGTTTTTGGCTTTATCACAGAAATGAGAAGCGGCTTCTTTGGTGAATGGATGAATTAGTAGTAAACTTGCTATTAGTTGTACGAAATTTGGATCTAGCAGCGTGGGTATAAAAGAGTTTGAATCCCATGAGTTACTTTTCATTTTGTTTTCTTCTCACCACATAAAGAGTACAAAGTAGGGATGGGAATGAGTCCGGCTGGGTTTTGTCAAACTCAAACCCAAACTCATGGGTTTATCCTTGAAAAAACCCCAAAGTAAAATCTATTGGGTTTGAAAAACTCAAACCCAACCCAACCCGCTGGGTATCCATGGATTTTTGTCGTAAAAAATTTACAATAACAAGTTCTTATCAAAATAAAAGTCAAATATCAATCTCTCAATACAAATTAGGGTTAATACCTTAGTTTGGCCCGAAGTTTCGTTTAAGTGACAATTGTGGCTTGATTTTTTCAATAAGACATTTATGGCTTTTCAAATTATTGGACAAATTTGACCTATGAACCGGTTTGACCGTCAGAATTGACGGTCAATCATTTTCTCCATCAATGACTGAGCACTCACTGCTGACTAGACTAGTCCATATCATTTAAAAATTGAATAAAAAACAAAAAAAAAATGAAAAGGGAAGTCGAATGGTCCACCACAAGCAAACCTTTCCCATTCTTTATCCCCTCTCTTCCTCCTCTGTTAGCAACTATCCCAGGGAGGAGATTGTCAGAGACGGTGATAATTTGGAGATTGATGAGGAGGAAAGCCGAGCTCGTCGGAGAGAAAGTTGTATAGGAGATAAACGATGCGAAGGAGCGAGCAGCGAGAGAGAGAGGAAGGGTGGAGCCATTGAAGTTGTTGGAGTGGAGGCTGAGGCGGCGAAGCTGGGCGAGTGGCTGGAAGAAGAGCAAGTGACGCCGCGGCAGTCGCAAGGGGCGAGTGGGATGGAAGGGTCCCAGCCGTCCAGGGCACCAAGTGGGTCGTGGAGGGCGAGCTTGAAGGCAGTCAAGGCTTGGAACTCGACGGCGGGGACGACGACGGTGGTGGCGACTGCGAGAAGGAGAAGGGGAGGACAAAGTGGAGGCGGCGGAAAAAAATGAAATTAGGGTTTGGATGGGCTTTGGGGATTTTGGATAATAAGAGGGTTTCAATTTTATATCTTAATTTTATTTTAATCGAATAACAAAATTAAAATAATATTATTTAATGATGTGGCAAGCCACATCAGCTACTTTTTGATGAGTCACTAACGGAGTAGTGTTTGACCGTCAATATTAACGGTCAAAGAAAATTTTGGGCCAAATTTGTCCAATAGTTTGAAAAGTAGGCCATAAATGTCTTATTAGAAAAGTCGAGCCATAATTGTCACTTACGCCAAACTTCGGGTCAAACTAGGGTATTAATCCTACAAATTAACCATACAAATTGTTCAACACTAATCTAGAAAACTCAAGAAAATTGAAGCAAATCACAAATTATCCATAAACAACATAATTAATTGAAAGCTTTTTCCTCTTTGTCAATTAAGCTTCTTCACTCTCCACTCGATAATATCAACTTCATTCTACACAATCAGAAAGAAAAAATTAGACATGTCTCCACAAACATAAAAAAGATTAGTTGTTTAGAATATTAAATATACCGGGAAAATTAATTATATGGGTGTGGGCGGGTACTCGTGGGGCGGGTTTACCTAAACTCAAACCCAACCCAACCCGGTGAATAGTGAATGGGTTTAAACCCAAACTCGGCCCAAAACACGTCAACAAGGGTTTTACTCGCGCTGACCGGGTTGGATCGGATAGGTACCCGTGGGTTCGGATTTTGCTGTCATCCCTAGTATTAAGAGTGAGTGTTTTTATGTGAATTTGGATGAGCTTGGACTCACCCACTACGTGGTGGATTAAGGAAAAAAATAATACATATTCATCTAAGATGTACATGTGGATGGGTTCGGTGATTGCTGATGGTAGACGGTTTGAGCGGGTTCCAGTGGCGGAGCCACTTGGAGAGGAGGGGGTGCTTTGCACCCCCCTTGGCTTTGGAGAATTTTTTTTCGAGTAGGGGTATATACAAATTCCAACCAATGACCATTCAGTTGCAGAAAGAATTTCTTATCATTTCGATCGAGTGAGTTTTGTTATGTAATGCACTTTCGTCTTTATTTATAGTAATAAATTGTTGTCTTTTGTTTAAATCGCTCATTTTTTTTAGCTCTACAACAGAGAAATTTCTTGTCTTTTGTTTAAACAAAGTTGAAAGTGAAGAAGTACCAATTGAAGTTCACTTGTTTGTTTCACAAAATCAATTCCAAGGTACTTCTGAGTTCTAATTTGTAATATTTGATGAATGGAAGTCTTGATTTGTATGTACTGAACTTATTTTGACGTTGTAACCGGTGTACGTGAAACTATTTTGATGTAATTGTGTGAATTTAGAGTATTGCGTTGTTAACTTTTTGTTTAATTTAAAGTTGACTTTTCTATTGTATAGGTGATTTTTTATGATATGATAAAGACACCCCCTTGGCCAATTTCCTGGCTCCGCCACTGGCGGGTTCGATGGGTTTATTGGGTTTACAACATACATTTCATAATATTTGTTTTTGATATGAACATACATTTCATAATTGAATATAATTTATATTATTTTAAACTTAAAATGAAAGAAATTTCAAACTAAATAACTGAATGCATTGAATATGTGATGAATATTTTCAGTCATGGAAACAAATTAGATTTTTCAAATATCCACAATAATTATAATTACGAAAAAACATATCCATTCAAAATTGGGCAGGAATGATTTCAACAAATCTTTTGCTCGAAATTAGGAGGAACAAAAACAAAAAGCTTATGTGAGGATTACTAGTGCATAAATAGCATATGCATGGATGGTTGGGAGGAATAACTCCAACTAAATTTCAAATTCGGAGAGTGAGGTGTGGGTAGCTCTCCTTTGAGTTTAGGCCTTTAGAAAAAGTTTGATGAAGGGATGAATGAGTTTGAATAACTACTATATATCAACCGGGGAAAGGGACATACCCCGGCAATTAAGCTACGAAAAGGTATCAACTTGGTCGAATTTAGACCATGATTGTGACCGAAAGCAAGCCTCTCGACTGAATAAAATAGAACAAAGCTATGCAAGTTAAAGTTGGTAATGGTAACATATTTTACGTTGAAAGAAAGCCAAAAGAAGCTAGGTTTGCCGATTTTGTCAAAAGAGCTCCCATCCCAGCTGGGGAAGAAGAAAAAAAAAGGCAATTATCAGATCCCAATGTCTTACTGTTACACGCATTGCCAAATTTTCCGATCGACCAACTACTCTCCATCAGGAATCAGAAACCCTCGTCAGCCTTTCCCCCTTCTTCTTCATATGGGTTTTGTTCTGCTGTGATGTGCAAGCTCAAGCAAAGTATAGAGTAACACTCAATAATCCTTTCCTTTTCATCCTTTCTTATAATTAGTTTACTACCAATCTTATTATGACACTTAACTTGTAATTAGTTTCTCTGGAAATAACATTCTCCTTATCTGGATTTTGTTCGTACTGTGATTACTTGCAAGCCGAAGCTAAGAATAGAGTCTAGGAAACAAGTAATCCTTTCCTCAAAACTTTAATGTACCCGTCACTATCTTAACTGTAGATCACTTCCTATTGAAAGAGAACTATAGAGATAGATAGAACCAATGAGGGTTTAGGCAGGAGAGGAGAGGAGCGGAGCTACCTTGTGCCTCGGGGGCCCCGCCCCCCCCCCCCCCAGAATTTTGGAGATCGCATATAAAAATATCAGGAATTTTGACAATTCTGAAGAAGTTAACTATTGTAGAATAACAATAACGTGCAATAATGAGTAACAATATCTCGGTCTAGTCTAACGGAATGTAGCAGCTGTCTAGTATTTGTGAATACCCAATATCATGGTTCAATCTTTGATAGCAACATTGGTTTTTTAGTTTTCCTACTTTGGTTGAATTTTTGTTTAAAATTTAGACTGATCACTTAACTTTTGTACTTATTCAAATACTTTTTAATTTCAAATTTCAAACTAGATAATGAAATTTTGGAGCTTATAATATTTTTTTTCTAATTTAGACAATTAAATTTTGAAGCTTATGATTCACTATGTAAATATTAATTTTTTTTACTGATATTATACAATAAAGTCCGGCCCCCCGACCACTGGATCCTAGCTCCGCCCTTGGGTTTAGGGCTCCCTATAAAAGAGCATTAGCTGATTTCTAATTGGTTTGAAAGAGAAAATATGTAAGACCTTTACAAGAGCAATAACGGTTTTATTATGTGACAATTGTTCTCGATGTACTTAGTTTTCTCACCATGCACATAGTTATTGACCGACTTTATAGCAAACAAATTATACAGAATCAGGGGCGGGGAAGTGAATTAAGTGCTAAGGTAATGACAGAGAATGCAATTATTGTGTTTCACAAGTCGGATTAGCTAGTCATTTTCAGGTACTTATATTAATTACTCTCATTAGATGACCTAGAAACATTGGTCTATATCTTTGATTTTCAGAAGGCATAATAGAATATTGACTACTAGCCGAGATAAGAAACTAATTATGACGAGGAACAAGAAGGGAAAGATCAAACCTTGTACCTTAACCTAAATGGTCAAATTTATTAATTATAATGCATCGCAAGACTCTATTAGCGCGGTTTATCAAAAATTACTCCATCCATAGAAACGGAATAGTAACCCATCCAAAATCACAAACAATAATAATACACCAAATCTCATCAAAACTCTAAAGCTAAACATATATGGATGAAAGTAATACTAAAATAAGTCGCCTCCTAAAAGACCAATGTTGTCATAACCGAACCGGAGCATGACCCGGTAATGCGAACGGCTCGCACTTTAGTGGTCCAACTGGCATTAGACCGTTTAAAAACCGTTAGAGAATCGGTACAGAATAAACGTTATCAGTATAAATAGTGGACATTTATTTATCAGAGCTCATCTCTTTCCTTCAAAATTGTGAAATGGAAATAAGTATTCAGTTTGAGAGCCCTACGTTTTTTGTTGATTTCAATTTTCAATTTTCTGCAATTTTTTTAATTAAATTTAGTGGCTGAATGGCAAAAACCGGACCAGCGGCTCAATCGGTTCGAACGGTTAACCGCCTCGGCCGCTCGCCAACCGCTACATAAAACCGGAGCGGCTTTTATATTATTTCGAGCCGGTTTTATGACCGGGTGGCGGTTTTACCGGTCGGGCCGAGCGGCTCGGCTCGGCTTTAATAACACTGTAAAAGACATTATTAGAATACAGAAGCACGCGATTGAAGAATTTTCATTGATTAGGTTATGTCATGTTATATTATAGAACTAGTTATTATATGTGTAATAGCTCTAGGTACCAATGTGTACATTTTCCTTTTATCCGTTAGGTTGTTATCTCTTTTTTCGTTGACTCGCTCTCTATATAAGAGTCGTTCAGCAATGATAGATCAGAATCCTTTTTTTACAACATTTCTCGTGTTGCACCTCTTTGAACAAAATTAAGAAGAAGAAAAAACAATTGTCTAAACTTCAAACTTCTTTTGGCAGGGAAACAACCCCAACTCTCAAGCTGCTGCTTCCGATCTCCTATGAGGGACCTGTATCGGAGTAGTTTCACTCTACAACCAACATCATCACTACCACCATCATCTCCTTCTTCTTCATTGGCACAAACTAGTGTTCTATGTGGGCGGAAGCTTAGCAAGCTAACGGTGGCTCTTAGTCACCATTGAACGGCCTGGATTTGGCTGAAAACGACACTATTGTCGAAAACCTCCTACAGATGGGAGAGTAAGACTCGTTTAATTATTTTGATTAACATAAGCGGCCCTCCTCTGGAATCCGACCATGGCCAGAAATAGTCTACGGTGTGGTACAACAAACGGCGAACTCGCCGGAAAACCTCCACCGTCGGAGATGACAATTAATTGCCGGAACAGTTACAAGCCATTGGCGAGTAATTGCGAATTTTTAGTCCTAAAATTATTTTGCATTAAATCTTTTCTATATGTGTAGGTAACGATTAATTGGCCTATTTATTGTTTAGTCCCATTGCCAAGAATTCATGTCATTAATGGTATTAACCACATGTTCTACGATTTCAAACGATGAAGTCTTCCTTAGTGCATCAACTATGATTTCTTATTTCTTTAGAAATAGTCAAATAGGGCTATCACCTGGCTCATGAATCAGCGTTGGCCTCAAATCGAAAACGGATAGTCGAGAAAGCATTGAAAACTTATTCTTCAGATGCCCCCTAGCCACCAGATTGTGGACTTTAGTGGGATTGAGAAACTTTATTGAGACCGCCCCAACTG